AATTATTATTTTATTTTATATTGAAATTTAAGAATAAATTAATTTGATTTTAAATTAATTTTTTATATCATTTAAAATTATTTTTTCAAGTTATTTTAAATTTGATTAATTCAAAATCAAATAGTATCTCAAAACTAAATCACAAGTGGAAAAATAAAAAATGTATTATCGGATCTTTGATTGATATTATTAATGGTGAGTAAAACTCGACTCGAATTAATTTTATGTTGTAATTTTATAAACTCGGTTAAAAAAATTTAAATTCAAATCAAGTTATAAAATACAACTTGAATAGCTCGAATATTTTAGTAATTAATGAATTGATTTTCAAGTTTGAGTTGAACCCTAACTCGTATGATATATGTATATCACATATGAAAAAATATGAAGAAATATATGTGTGTTATACATGGTTATAAAAATCATTTAAATTGAAATAAAATAATACCATAATATTATCAAATTTTACAATTAAATTTAAACATAAATTCAAAAACTCGACTTGACTCGAAATTTTTTTAAGTCAAGTTCGAGTTGTAAAATAGGATTCGTCAACTCAAATAACTCGAAATTTTTTTACTCGACTCAACCGAACACTCACCCCTAGATACCATGAATTATTAATTATTTTTTTAGTATTAAAATTTTAATACTCTATTTTAAAAAATTAGTTATGTAATTTTTCTTTTTTTTCCTATTCTCATTAACAAATTAAACTAAATTTAACAATTTTTACAAAAATAATGGGGTGTATTTGCTCAGAGAGCCACATACACCTGCCCTTAAAAGTGTGCATCCTCAAATTATGGTCTTCATTTTAAATTAATCCCTAAATATTTGAAAAGTTCAATTTCATCTCCAAATTATAACTATGATTCTAAATTGGTCTCCATGTTTTTGGATGTTCTAAATTCATTCTTAAACTATGATCATCATTATAATTTAATATTCAAACTTTTAAACGTTTTAATAACATCCTTCAAAATCATTCAAAAGTTTAGAGATAAAATTGATATATTCAAAAGTTTGGGGACTAATAATCTAATATAGAATGAGAGCCATGATTTGAGGATGAATTTGGAATGTTCAAAAGTGTATGGACCATATTAGAATAAAAGTCATAGTTCAAAAATAAAATTAAAATATTTAAAAATTTAAAGACTAATTTAAAAACATAATTTGATAACACATAATATAATAAATTCTAAAAAGTAACGTGATAATACACATTACCAATAGTAGATTTTTTTTTGTATATTACCGGGAATGTCATTACCTCCATTTCCTCATGTATTGTTGGATTACCGGCGTTTTGGACTAAAATGCCTTTAAATTGTTTTTCAAAAATATCCTTATTCTGCCATTGAATAATAAAAAGAGAAAATAACCTCAGTGACCAAAAATACCTTATAATATACGATTTTAACCATCTTTTTTTGGATTTGTCAAAATGACCAACTAAATCGTAATGCGATCGATAATTCGCAACGCGATCTCCGGTATCGCAAATCAGTTTCCAGATTCGCAACGCGAACTTCGACTATCGCATTGCGATTTACATATTCGCATTGTGATAGTCCAAGTTCACGTTGCGATAGTCGAAGTTCGCATAGCGATTTTCCAAATTCGCGATGCGATTTATAACAAATTCGCGTTGCGATTTATTACAAATTTGTTGCGATAGTCGAAGTTCGCGTTGCGATTTAATCCAAATTCGTTGCGATAGTCCAAAATCGCAACGACTGGTGGTATTGCATTTGTTTCTTAAGAATTTTCTCTAAAACGATAGTATTCGCGCGGACGTGTCGAAGACACGTATTACCACGACCACGACCACGAGACGACGGCGGCGCGCGAGAGTCCCCCTTGTTCTCTATCACTCAACAAGGAAGTGGGAAAGCCAAGCCTTAAATACCATTCCCAATAGTGTTTTCAATACTATGTGGGATTGAGCATTACCAACACTTGTTTTCAATACTATGTGATTATTCAGGAAACAATTAACAATCATGCACCTTAAAACAACTGAATCAACAACCGATTGCATTAGTATTATACGATTAAATATGTCATAATTAAAAGTCAATCTACAATCAATCGCGATTATTGCATTTTTAAGCAAAACATTCAAAAAAAATTGCATCACTCGCGAGAATAAAAAAATTGTTATCGTGCAATTACAATCAATTGAAAATAAATTAGAATTGCATGAAAACTAAACGAACCACAAATACTTTTCATACAAATACTAAAGTCATTAACTATAATTCACAAATAATATCACTATTTAAGGCTCAATCCCACATAGTATTGGGAACAAGTGTTGGTAATGCTCAATCCCACATAGTATTGGAAACACTATTGGGAATGGTATTTAAGGTTTGGCTTTCCCACTTCCTTGTTGAGTGATAGAGAACAAGGGGCACTCTCGCGCGCGCGCCGCCGCCGCCGCCGTCTGTCTCGGGTCGTGGTCGTGGTAATAAGTGTCTTCGACATGTCTGCGCGAATACTATCTTTTTAGAGAAAATTCTTAAGAAACAAATGCAATACCACCAGTCATTGCGATTTTGGACTATCGCAACGAATTTGAAATAAATCGCAACGCGAACTTCGACTATCGCAACGAACTTGGAATAAATCGCAACGCGAACTTGGAATAAATTGCAACGCGAGCTTGGACTATCGCAACGAATTTGGAATAAATCGCAACGCGAACTTGGACTATCGCAACGAATTTGGAAAATCGCAATGCGATAGTCGACGTTCGCGTTGCGATAGTCGATGTTCGCGTTGCGAATCTGGAAACTGATTTGCGATACCGGAGATCGCGATGCGAATTATCGATCGCATTGCGATTTAGTTGGTCATTTTGGCAAATCCAAAAAAAATGGTTAAAATCGTACATTATAAGGCATTTTTGGTCACTGAGGTTATTTTCTCTAATAAAAATTTTACGAATGTTAAATTATAAATTTATCCTTAAACTATTTTAGATTTACAAAAAAAAAATTATAATTAAAATTTTATATGAAGTTCAGTGGTTAAAATAAAATGTTACCCTTTCGTTAAACATTTTTATATTTTCAATTTTGTAAAAAATTATATAAATTTTATAAATTTAAATTTTTTAAAGAAAATATATAAATATTTTCTATCTTGTTAAAAAATAAATATATAATAAGGACAATTTGGTCAAATATAAATTCCAATAATCTTTTATTCTTTTAACCAAACACGGTAATCTTACATTTCTACTAAACCAACCAAACACAAAATACAACATTCTCAGTAATCCTATTTCTTGGTAATCTTTTATTCATACTGATAATCTTACATTCCGTGAACCAAACGCACCCTTAAGGACCGGGGGAGTTGAAAGTTTGTTCTTAGTGAATTACAAATATTTCCCGTCTATTTATTGAATGAACGCATCAATCAAAAGGTTTTAATGTTTAATGGTTAAAGGAATAATTATTAATTTTAAAGTTATCAGGTTCGAACACGATATTTACAAGGATATTGAGTGTTTATTATTAAATGATTGAGAATCTATCTAGACTACTTTTTATTAGTGTGAAGTGATTATAAGATAATATTTGTTAGAAACATTTTCAACCATTTGACAATGAACGTTTAAGCACTTATGCGGACAACGTACTCAAAACTAAAACTTCAAATGATAACAATTATCTTTTTAATCATTAAGATCACTTATCCTCGCGAATAAAGATATAATTTATTGAACCGAAAATAATTAAAAAATATTTTTTTGGTGAATAAAAGAAGTAAAACTACATAGGATTAGTCCTCTACTGTCAACGTGCAATCTGCATCATCCTATTGGATTAGATTAGTCACTTCCAATGGTGGGGTGGAGAAAACCATATGAACCTCTCCTCTAGTCGCGGCAATCTTAGCTAGTCTATTCGCCACCTTATTTGCAGTCTGGCTTATGTGCTTTAAAACAACGTTTCAGTCTCTGTTAATCAACTCATTCACACGGTCTATAAGAGTAAAAACCGAGCCTCTCTTAGAGTTTTCCTTTAACATTCGGACAGCCTCCAACTATCTGTTTCCACTGTGATTTGCCTCTCTCCTAGATTCCAAGCATGAGAAAGACCTTCATGGATACCCCATAATTCCGCTTCAACTATAGAACATATTATGATCGCTTTTGAGAATCCAAGCATCCAACCACTATTCGAGGATCGAAGGACACCCTCACATGTTTCAAATCCGTTTCCTATGATACAGGACCCATTAGTATTAACCTTACACCAAATGTGAGGAGGCGGATGCCAAGCATCAAACATAGTAAATGATTAAAAAATATTAAACTCTAATAATATATTTAAATGTCATTGTATACCACTCATCTGTCGGTGCAACTGCTCTTTTCACTAGATACGATTCACATTCAACATCTACATATGAAATATGTATAAATATTCGAATTCATGTGTATTATCACCCCCAATCCTTTGAACTTTAAACCAAAGTCATGCATGTTATCATCACGCAGTGATATATTTAGAAATTCTTTAAGGATGAATATATATACGTTAATAACATATAATATTTATAAAAGATGAACATACTCATCCTAAACTTGCTGTGGTTCTGTCACTGTATTCACGTGTATCCTACGAGCATGCAGACGGTGACAAACTGGAAGCGACATGGACATCAGTATCTCGAGATGGAGCAATCGCCAAAGATAAAAAAACAGAGAAATCAGATACGACGATAAAGATTTTATGTGGATGAGGTGGTCGATTCGCCTATATCTACGTTCTGCAAAAACCACGTGAACCAGATTCTTTGCTTTGCTTTCAGTCTGGCATTGAGCTTTCCCAGTCTCACAGACCGTCTAATCCGACACTTTCTGATTCTCTTCAGCTGCATTATTGCCCTTCCTGTGTATATATATGGGGTGTAAAACAAGAGTTTTTCAATCCAAGGTTTAATCAGTACTCATCCAGAGATCTTGATAGCTAAAGTTGATGATGAAAATATCGTTGGGGATTTTCTTTCTTCTCCTTATTGTCTTAGCCCTCCGTAAGTATATATACACATAAATATTTTCTTTAAGATGTATGTATATATGTATGCATGTATGTGACTGTGTATGATGCATGCAGAATGGGGGGTGCGGCCAGCAGAGGCTAGGGTTTGCCAGTCACAGAGCCATAAGTTCAAGGGTGCATGTATGGGTAACCACAACTGCGCGCTGGTGTGCAGAAACGAAGGCTTCTCCGGCGGCAAATGTCGAGGATTCCGTCGCCGCTGCTTCTGCACTAAGCTCTGCTAGTAGCCGGTGACATGGAAGGGGATGCATGTTTAAGAACATTGCTTCCCTCCCACGCTTTTAACGAGTTTAGGGTTTTTCATGCATATCCATTGTGAAATGTTTTAATAAAGGTTTGATCTGCCAATTAGTTTCTATTTTTGGGAGATCATTTCTTCGTCTCTGTTTCTTCATGCCTTTGGTGGGCTTTGTTTCTTAGTTTTGTTTGTGATGTTTAGTGTACTAAAACTGCATTTTGCAGCTACTTTCATTAATGGATCTACTTATTTTATAAGCTGCCATGGAAATCTGTTGTTTTTACTTATAAACATTATTTCGTCTCGGTATGTATCATTTAAGATTTTCTATGACATAGATAATGTTAATTGATCTATTAATGAGATTTTAATTAACTATATAAGATCAAATAGAGGCTAGATTTACATCGAAGATGGAAGCAGATTTGTCCATCTATCGTCTTCCATTCTCCATATTGATAAGGTAAGACTACTACAACGTAACAATCATAGAATTAAGCAAACATGGAGATCAACAACATGAAATATTCCGGCAAAGGTTCTGCAGCTACTACCGGCAGCAGCGTACACATCTGCGTCGTCCCAATCCCATATACTTCCTCTCGTGCACTTAACTCATCTGCTTCTTCTTCGTGGCTTAACAGTAACAATCATGGCATGATTCTTACGGTAATGACTACGTCGAAAGAGGTTGGAGTTTGTTTTCTTCGGGCCATGAAGGAACCGATGAAACGAATCGAAGACTGCGACGATGACCGAAGCACGATCCCTCGAGGATTTGAAGACCGAGTAAGGGGAAAAAGGCCTAGTGATTAAAGGGTGGGATGGCGATCCTTAAGCATCGAGCCGTCGATTTCTTACTTGACACATTGCGGGTGAAACTTGGTACTAGAAGCCACTGTTGCAGGAATCTTGTTGCTTGCTTGGCCCGATGATGTGGACCATTTTCAGATCACGACGCTGTTGTTCTGATGAAGTTGGTGCGCCGGCGATTAGAATTTGCGAAGGTTTAAGAACTGTTCCCGATGCGACCAAACTGGCTTGGATCCTTGTCGATTCAACGACCACGAGACTACCGCAAAGAGTTTAAGGAAAAAATTTACATTTTTGTGTTATGTTTTATTTCATCTCGAGTCGGACCATAATTTGTATTTTATTCACAGAAATTTGCATTTTTTTGTGTTATGTTATTTTATATTTTAATTCATTATGATGTGATGAAACAAATGGAATTAATAAGAAAGTTGTCTTCATAACGAATTTAAACAATTAAAAGTGACAAAGGATTATATCAAGTTTTTCATCTATTTGAATCCGACTCGAAAAACACACCTCATCCATCCGAATACGACTAAGTCAAGGTTATGGATGTCACATCTAACCTGAAACTCAACTTAAATTTTAAGGTAAAAATTCACATTCAACCTGATTCAATATAGATATGAAAAATTAACCAAAAGAATAGGGACCTAAATGAAAAAAAATAAGTATTATAACAATTATCCCTAAGTATATAAAAGAAAAATATATTATTGTCCCGGGTCAAATTGAATATTTTTCAACTTAAACCCGACCTAATCTCACCCTTTACAAAATCTAACTTGAACCCGTTTTTTAAAACGATGGGTCAAGTAAGAACTCATCAGATTCGAATCAAATTATTATTTTTATACGAAATATTTAATCTAAATTAGTCGATCAATAGATGAAATAATGATGATCATATAACAAAGAAAAATTATAATTAGAGAACAAATCCCACGAAAGATAAATAGATAGATGAGTAAACCCTAGAAAAAGTTAATATAAAGGCTTAAAACTTTTAAAGTTTTGTTAGGACAAAATTTAAATTAAAATAAAATACAGGGACATAACGAATGTAAATTTTAATTATTTAAACATTATTATTCTAATATTTTAGAATATGTTGAATATTTTAAATTTTGAATGAAACTGATATAACATATAAATATAGAAAGTTAAATTTACTATCATGTTAATAAAATTTACGTAAAATTGAAGAAAAATATAAGTGAAAATTCCTTATTTTATGAGAAGGACTAATTTCCAATTTCAAAATTCAGGAGCTAAGACGAAATTTTAGCAAAGAGGAGGAGGGATTGGAAATAAAGAGATAGAAGGATATAATCTCACCCAAAGCTGACCAATCAGAATCCAGCATTGGAATACCCCAAATCCTGATATATGGTGCCTTTTGTATTTCCCTCCATCTTATCTAAAGCCCCCAATAACTGCTCTCTTCTACCATTCTCATTGTCTCACGCACACAATCCCGCATCGGCACAAAACTATGACCACCATTAACTCCCTCCACCACCATTACTCTTTCCTCAAACGGCTCTCGACCTCAGAATCCAACCTACCTCCTCCTCCTCCTTCCTTCCTCTTCCTCCACCCTACCACCACCACCACAACAACAACAACAACCACCGCCACCTTCTCTCTTGCCCCTCCAACTTCCTCCACCACTTCCACCTCCCCCACTTCCCAACCTATCTCCTTTGACACCCTCCAACACCACCTCTCCACTCAAAACTTCTTCCAAGCCGACGAGGAAACTCGCCGTCTCCTCATCATCCTCGCCGGCGAAGCCGCTCAGAAACGCGGCTACGTCTTCTTCTCCGAGGTGCAGTTCATCGACGAAGCCGACCTCAAAGCCATAGACGAACTCTGGAGACAGTACAGCAACAACAGATTCGGGTACAGTATCCAGAAAAAACTATGGCAAAAAGCCAACAAAGACTTCACCAAGTTCTTCCTCAAAGTCGGGTGGATGAAGAAACTGGATACCGAGATCGAGCAATACAATTACAGGGCTTTCCCGAACGAGTTCACGTGGGAACCAACGAAGAAACGCCCGAGGGTCATCTGCCATTGACGATGCTTTGAGAGGAACGCAGTTGCTCAGCAGTATCCTCAGCCATCCAGCTTTTGATGGTGAAGAACATGACAAAGCAATTGAAAATGAAGCTAAAGGGAGCTTAAGAGATGATGTTAAGGGCGCTAAGCCACTCGGCAGCTTGTTTCCTAAACCAGATTATAGCTTTTAATCAGGTTCTTTAATGGCGTTTTAGCAAAAATACAGTGTAGAATCTGAATTGGGTCTTAAACTTTTTAGTTAATGATTCTTCATTAAGTGGTTGAAACTATTGTCTTTTGGTTTTCAATGTAATTTCTTCTTGTTTTATCTTTGGAACTATGATTGATTCACATGTACTTTTCCAAGTGTACATAATGACTCACTGGTACCTTTTGAAGTATTAAATTAAATGTGGCAGTTGAACTTCTTTAATGCTTTTCCCGATTAGTAAATTTCATGTAATTAAATTTTTTATTATTAAACTTTTAAAAATGATAAAATTATTATTAAAATTAGACTTGTAAAAATAAATATTTAAATTATGTCTTTATCAATATTTTTAAGTTTTTTAATTTTATCTTTTAAAAATAAAAATAATATTTTTCTCAAAAAAAAAAAAACCCACACCCTCACACTTCTCCCCTTACGTCCCCCAATCTCTCTCTCAATCAATTGTATTTAAATGATATTTTGAATTCGGGGACAGTTATTTGAGCATTAGATTTAAGTATTTGAGTTTAGAGATTATTTATTTAGAGGTATTGAGATGACGAAAAGAGAGATTGTTGATAGTGTAGGTCCGATTATATGTGAGTGTTCGTTTAACGATGACGAAAGTCGTTGTAAATAATAATCTTTTTATTCATTTATTTTTTGATAAATTTGAGGTGAATTTAATGTGGTATGTGTTTAAAGATTCTTTATCATTTGACAACTTCTACATATGTAGAGCTCGAACCAAGACCTTAAGAGATAATAACAAATTCTTTAAACACTGATGTCGTTTAGTTCGTGTAATCTTTATAATATTAATAATTATATGATGACAGCAAATTTTTATTTTTGATGTAATATAACTAAATATAAATATCAATAATTATATTACAAATAAATAAATATAACTATAAATTAGTGGCATGCATTGTATTAAAAAATCGATGCTCCTTTTCTTTGCTTTAGATATTGGCCACGTATCCGACATGTTCCGCTGTTGCTCTCCACAAATATAAATGGATTAATTATAAGTTAGATGTCTAAACTTATTAACATCTCTCAATTTGGTTTCTGATTTTTTTTATCCTCACTTAAGCTGGCTTCCGTTTAAGGTCGTAACTGAAAGGTTGTCTTTAAATATGTTCCTAAATATTGAATGTACAGTAAAATTTTAGATATTCCTTTAATTTTGAATAATTCTGTTATAAGTGATGATGTCATAATTGTCGTGTGTTACAATATCAAATTATCACGTGTTCTATGCTCAATACCGTTAAAAAAGGACGGAATAAATGTTATGATCTCAAATTAGAACCAAAAAGATATTATATATCAAATTAGGAGAAATGGACAGCTTGAAATACCAAACTTACAATTAAACCTTTTATAAATTGTACATAAAGCTATTATCCAATAAATATAATCTTCCATTAATTATTTGTGAATCATTTGTATATTATTTGTTTAGTTAAATAAAAGAGAATGAATTAAATTATTTATTTTTATTAAATAAATTAATTTAAATATATATCAATTTATTTTTTTGGATAATTAAAATTTTTTATTACCCAAAATCAACCAGTACAACATTAAAGGAATAAGCAGTGATCATCCAACACAAAAACAAAGATCACCCTATATTTCAATTCCTAAAAAGAGTAATATTAACATTGTCATTACAATTGAATTTCCTATTGCGTAAGTGCAGTCCAATTATATCTCTGATTGTATGGAATAATTCTTGAGCATTCTTGGATCTACCTTGGAACATTCGCTTGTTTCTTTCATCCCATAGTAAGTAAATAGTAGCATTAAAAGATAACTTCAGAATAAGAGTGGGCATTGATTTGCCTTTCCAAGCATTGGAAGCCCTTGCACAAAAAGCGTCCCACGGGCAAGGGAAGAAGTGAAGTCCCGAGAGAGAAAAAACATTTTTCCAGA